CTCCTTTATCTTCCTTGCTGGCCATCTGTCCCACCAGAGTATAAGCCTCATAGGAAGGGACTTGTTTCCTCTGCTGGATCTTCAGCATCTAGAATTATACCCAGCACATAGTCTGCATCCAACAAATATCTATCAGCTGAAAGACTGAATTAATGTATATACTTTAAAAATCTGCTTGGCATGGTTGTTGAGAAAAACAAGCTGACCACTGTTAAGATATTTAATGAACCTTCGCTATCTCTGGTTTGCTAGCTATAAAAATAACAACACTGCCCTGGCATATATATTCATGTGGGTTTATACCTATATTCACTGCACAGTTAGATCTCTTGTCTACTGCTGGTGCCAATGGTTTCAATTCAACAGAGAACTCTCTCATGTCTGCTAATCTCCTAGCATTCAAATGTTTGTTGAACCACTGAACTGAATTTTATGTTATCCTAAATCAAAGACGGAAATGATCTTAATGCAAAATTAGGTTTGCACATTTAAAGGTAGCCACTTAAAGAGTCTCCTGATGACCATTTCTGATGATCATTTAGCTGGTCATGTCCCTCTCACATCCGTCCATCCATTCCCTGAAAATAACCTTCCCCTGGGCAGCCTCCACGGGTCTCTCCTAGCACAGGCAGCCCTTCCCTCCCAAACCACACATAAACCAAACAACTGCCGGGACAGATTTTTCCTTCTGATGAGTTGACTCTCTGTGTAACTCAACTGCCCGCATGGACAAGTGAGACAACAGATGTGATGGGAGGACTATGACATTCGATATAAGTACAAAGAGGTGAGATTAATATTGATACAAAAAGACATTTTGTCACCATTAAAATTTAGATAAATTCCTCTTTTAAAAGTGTAACAAAGTTATAGATTTCAATTATGTTTTTCTTATAAAAGTAAAAACTTCTTTTGGCCACAAAACCTAAATAGTAGATCACTAACTTTAACCATTAACCTTGATAAATTTCCAAGAAGTTTACCCACACTACTAATATGCCACACCCTGGGATGACCTTTTCTCCAATTCACTCAAGCCAGCCTATACTGCAAATGCAAAAAGTCAACCAAATGCATAGTTTCTGTTAGTGAATTCTTACTGACAAGATGAATGCACAGTCGAATGGTATCTTTTGACTTATTAGAGAGGTAGACACTACATTCTAGTTTCAAAGAACTTCAGCTTGAATTGATTCTATTTCTGTTCTGATCCACTCTTTTAGCTTCAGTACGAGGTGCCAAATAGCAAAAATGGGTAAATATTTCAGCTACAAGATAAAAGTGAGAAAGGACTCATGGGACTGGAAGATAATTGTTTAATAGCAGATTTAAAGCAAGCTACCTTGGCTGATGGTTAGAGGCTGAATGAAGGATTTCTCACATTTCATGGCGAGTGGCTCTGAATTTTCTCCAAATTAATGTTTAAGAAATGTTGAAAAGAAAAACAGAGAAAGGGGGAGAGAGAATGTCTTGGGCCCTTTGCCAGTTTCAAAGCACAGTTCCGGGTACAGAGCCACACGCAGGAGCACCAGATAGAAATGGTTGGCTCTGAGTGGCCATAATCTGGTGAAAAGGTACATACCTCCTTGTCAATCTAGGAATTCAAATTTTGAAATGCATTTCCACTGAATAACTGACTTGTGATAAAGGAATAACCACAAAAATATATTCATTTTAATTCACATTACTGAGAAGCAAACACAAGGAAATGTCTGAATTAGGTGCCACTGCTGCACTCATAAGCCTCCGGTGGCTCTGTTTCCTACCTCCACACGTTGGTTTTGAGAGCCTTGCACAACCCAGCCCCTGCTCCCACCAACCTCATGTCCCATTTCGCCCTCACCTGCATCCACTGAGGGGTGTCAGCCTGCTCTTACTCTTTTCTTGATGTGCACAGCTACCCCAGTGCCTTTGCGCCTTTTTTATGGCTTCCTAAACCTGGAAAGCCCTCTCCTCCTCACCCTTACCTCCCAGGCCTCACCACACTTCAGACATGAGCCTAAGTCCCATCTTCCCACAAAGTCTTCCCTAAACCCCGTGTCAGTCTTTATTGATTTTTCTCTCTTGTGGAAGCCTTTATAAGCACTCGGGTTCTGGGCAGTCCGATATCCTCTCTTATCCCATCCACCCACGCGTCATGTGTTTTAATCTTATCTTTCCCAGCTAAGAGCCCTGAGAGCAGATGTCATGGTTGGTTGGTTTGAGGGGCAAATTGGTGGAGCAGTCAAGTCCACGGCACGGCGATACCAGCTGGCTGGTGGCTGATGGACGTGTCCAATGTAGATCGCTCCCTCAGAATGGTCACAACCCCCAAAAGAGTGGGTCAGAGCTGACCAGCACAGGGGCTCATGGCTCACATGCCCTGCCCTCTGAAATAATCCGCCTCGTTAAATTTTTGCCCAATGGGATGGGAAAAGGAAGAAGATAGGAGCCCAGAAAAATCTGCAAAGAAAATTCTTTTTGCCACATTCCTCCCAAATCAAGACTAAGACATTTCCTGTTTTTAAGGGAGAGACATCCGAGGTTTCCCATCAGAACACACCACACACTGACTTTTGTCTTAGCCACGACCCATCTTTTAGATAGAAAAATGTTGCTGACAGTAAATTTACAATAAAACCCTCTACTCCAAAATTGCCTATTGGGAGGAAATACTTCCACAGGAGTGAGAAAGGAAGTCATGCTCGCACATGATTAAAGCTAATATGCTAATGCACATCTGAGAGTAACGCTGGGGAGGACATACACACAAAGAATGTGAGAGAGTGAGAGGTTTTAATTACTACCCATCCAGGCCACAACTACAGAAAAACAAAAGTTGCTTTATAGAAATATGCCCAATCAGAACATACCCACATATCATGCCTTAGAGCTTAATTAGAAAGTGGGACGGACGGTGGCCTAATGAAGCCTCCATGCTTTAATTCAACAAGCATTTCTGTAAACAGCTGCTGTGTCCACACGAGTGTGTGCAGGTGTGTATGTGCATGCACATGAGCGATAGAGGGAGAGAGGGGAACACAGAGGGTGACAACTTGTGGTAGGTGTGTACCCTATCACTTAGAACTAGCCCTAAGGACATAAATGGAAAGCAGACCTATACACAGATGCCTCATTACCCAAGGAATCAGGAATTTTTAATATGCTTTCAACTTCACCCTTCTCCCGCCTCGTTGCTGGGCTCATGCACTTAGAATTAACAAGAGCAACACGGATGAGGTGGCTTGTCATACGTGCAATAGGGAATTAACTTCATGTGCTGCTTGGTAGAGGATCTGCCACGGAGAAAGCAGAACAAGACCATAAGCTTCCCAGACCCAGGAGAATCTAAGGTCAAGTCTGTTACCTCCATCGCTGCAGGTCCTAGAGTCCGAGGCCAGGCTGTCCGTGGAGCCGGTGGTGAAGCTGACGTGGACACCCCTGAAGGACGGGCTGAGGCTCTCTGCAGAGCCCTGGCTCACTTTTTCCAAATCAGAGCTGCTCTTGTTCATTTTTAAAAGGTGCCTGGAAAAGGTAGGAACAAACAACAAAAGTAACTCATTTGGTTTCCATTCAGAAACCAGGACGATGGATCATGAGCCTAAGTATGCTCTTAAAACCTGGCTAATGGCAGCAAGTTTTTTTTAAAAAAAATGATCTGGAGCAGAGAGAACAGGGGCTCTTCTGAAACTTTATGCATGTGAATGGCAGGAGACTTCCTGAATGTGATTAGGAGAAGTGAGTGCATTAAATTTAGACAAGCACCAAAATTCTGAATTGGGAAG